AGCTGTTATTCAATCTAGTGGTTTGGTACTGTTAACGAATAAATATAACTTACGTTCATTTTATGTCTGCATGCATGAAAATTGAAAATTTCTTGAAAGAAAATTAAGAACTACGTGATATTTACAGAGTAAAAGCTCTAATTGCAAACGCAATGTTAAATTGAAATAAGTTCGTGGTAGGAGCATTAAACGACAAGTGCTGTTTTGAGAACAGTTGGAACTTGAAAGGCAAAGTCAGAATCTAGAGCAAAATTTGGGAATTAATTACACCCGTTTTCAAAATTACGCGACCAAGGGCGAAAATGCTAGAGTTGACATGTCAGTTTTATGTCATTCGGTCACGAAGTTTAAACTTTGAGTTTTGCGGTTCCTTGTCGATGTATATGCTTTGTATATGCTTTATGTTGACAGGCTTACAATGATTTTCAAGATATTTTAGTGAGAATTATTGCAAAATTTAAGCACAAACAAAATCATAAGACATAACATCACCGTTATAGTCTAGCGCGCGTGTTTTACACTGACAGCTAGATTCCGGGATAAATTGTTATTTTTCAAACTTTAAAAGTTATTCACGGCACATATTTCTGTTGTGATGGTTTGTATTGTGCTTTAGTTTGCATATCTAAGTTATCTAACTCATATTTGTTCAGTTTTGGTATTAAATACGGTTTAAAATGTCTTTTGACAGTTTGTTTACGTTCTATTTTTAGCAGTTTTTGTGACATAAAACTGAAATTCGAGTAAGAGTATTTTTCTGGGAGGTCGCGTAATTTTGAAAACGGGTGTAAAAGTCGCCTGGAGAAGAAAAGTTTAACAACATATATATCAAATTGAAGAAATACTACGAAGGATTAATAAAGAGGTAAGACGCACACCAGCTACTATAGTTATTTATTATATAGAAAGTGTTCTTCCTAGTGGCTAAAATGAACATGAATTGCTAGGTTTTGTTTAATGAGAGGATTTCTTTCAGAACTTACAGATTCCTTTCAGAACCTTGGTATAGGGACCACCTGATGATTCCTATACGGATGAAACAGGCTGGGGTTTTTTTGAGGTAAAACGAAAAACTATATTACGCTCTATCTATATGGTATTGAGCACTGTTTGTGTTTCGTAAACCAAAATCTTAAGCTATATATATATACATATATATATATATATATATATATACATATATATATATATATATATATATATATATATATATATATATATATATATATATATATATATATATATATATATATATATATATATATATATATCAGTTGGTAGAGCGTCGATCTAGTAATTCGAAGGTCGCGGGTTCAAGACCCAGCCGCGCAGCAGCGGCGCCGCAAATTTTTTTTCCGTAGACAGTCGGACTCCTCATTGATAGTCGGACGCATCATTGACCCGCGCCCTTAAACAAAATATTCAGCGGATACTCGTCGCTCGCACTTGGTGATTTCAAAATCGGTATTGCTTGGTTGAGATGTCAAAATCTGAGCAGGACACATTGTGGCTTCATACCTTGTGTGGTGATGACATCCGACAGGAGCGATTGGCATTGCAGAATACCCATCCACTTTTTAAGCCATGCCTTTCAAACATCATGGATACGATGTACATGTATTAATACATCTACATTTATTCTCAATAGATTAATAATAAATAGATGGTGGCCCGGTAAAGGTAGCTACGAGTTAAATTGTCATAGTGTTAAATGTAGCTCTCTATTCTAGTGGATACGCGGATACGCAATCAAGTAGTTATTTTGAGAACGAGGCATACAGTTAGATTTAAAGCATTAGATCAAGTTGTTCTCACGCTATAGGTAGCTCTATATTTTAGTGGATACGCCAATGCGAATTAGTTGGCATTAGATTAAATTCACATGCTATAGAGAGCTTAAATGTGGTGTAATATGCAAATATGTTCCTCACAACCGGACATTGGCGTTTGACAGATTATGATTAATTAGCGTCGGCTGGGAGAAAATATTTTATATTATAAAACATACTAAGCATAATATTAAACATTAAAAGTCTTCCATGATATTTCCTTTATTGTATCAATTCGTAATATTGTCTTAGTAATTAGTTTCAACTTGTATATTAGAACGAGGCAATAAGATCTGATATATACGTATCCAGTGAAATAGTGGCCGGGCTACATGATATGTATTCCGTACACAGGGTATTGTGCAATACTTCTATTTGTGGAAAGTGGTATTGATTGTCGCTTTGAATCTTCCACTATTTCCTCGCACGCTAGTTATCCAACATGAGCTCCACCTTTGAATTTACTATATGAGTAAATTCTTAAACACGTCCGAATTTATCATTATGATAAATTCGCGGCACATTTTGAATTTATCAATAGAGTTAATCATAAAACCACAATCATTGCACAAGGTTTCTTGTTATAAATGTAATGCCACTAAAAGGGAGGCTGCTAGCGAGGCGGTGGGGAGTTTTTCATGTTTTTAAAAAAAATAGTTTTTAAAAAAGTTTTAAAAAGTTTTAAAAGAGTTTTGAAAAGCAAAAAAAGTTTAAAAAGTTAGATTTTTAAAAAAGTTAAGAAAATTTAAAAAGTTAAAAAAATGAGGGTAGGGGTTAGTGGTTAGGGTTAGGGGTTAGTGGTTAGGGTTTGGTGTTAGGGTTAGTGTTAGGTGCCGCGAATTTATTATTATGATAAATTCAAAATTTGCCGCGAATTTATCATAATGATAAATTCGGACGTGTTTAAGAATTTACTCATATAGTAAATTCAAAGGTGGAGCTCATGCTGTAGTTATCTTATCCTGATTCTCTTCAAAAGGGATGATATATAGTTTTAACTCGCAATAACCGTTCTTGAGTATTTTCGGAACCAGAAAAACAAGTTTGTAGATTTATTATGGCATCGCGAAGTAAATCGTTCATCTTTCTACACGTGGTCGAAGAAGAACAAAGTGGAGTGATGGATATATGAGGCACCAGTGGGTTACGAAGGGATTCATTGATAACGCGCGGAGGCCTGGACGCGGATCAATGATGCGTCCGACTATCAATGAGGAGTCCGATTGTCTACGGAAAAAAAATTTGCGGCGGCGCCAGGGGGGGGGGGCAATGTCCCCCCAATTATTTTTGCTCCCCTATTTTGCCCCTCAAAAAATATTATTAGTCACTAAGAGCGACTAAAGGCTACACAAGCGTTTTGTCGTTATCGGAAAATGTATGGCTTATAAGTTGTCATTACTCATTAGTGAATGCGCGTATACATGAAACTGTTTTTTACACTTCAATATTAGTTTGTAAATCTCTGAATGGTAAAACTTGCCAATACTCCAATGAATACGTTCCAAAAAAAGACAAAAAAGCTTTAGTTTTGCAGAGTTAAATTCTCAAACGTGTAAGGCATTAATAAGATGAAAGTATCACGAAATTATTTGAATACACCACATCGCATATATGGGGGGCGAATGTCCCAAAGAGGGACGATATTCCTAGGGTATTCGCCCCACCCACTGGGAGGCGATATCGCCACGTTTTGAGGGGGGAATCTCCCAAAGGGACTTTTGTGTTTCTATCTCCAATTTTAGTTTGCGCTCAAATGACCCCCCCTTCCAAATTTGGAGGCCTGGCGCTGCCACTGCAGCCGCGGCAGACAACATCTTTCTGCTTGCGCTGGGTATGGAGTAGAGTCAGGGCATTTTTTAAAGAATTTGTCAGTGGGGGAGGGGTCATCTACAATGAAAGGGACCATACTATACCGAGTGTGGAGAAATTATAGATGGTTTGTTGGTAACAAAATGTTTGGTGTGGTATCGCATTTAATAGTAGGGGGGGGGGGAGGTCGGGAGGTATTCTCCCCCAGAAAGTGTTTGTATTTTTCTATCCCTATGACTGAAATTCCCTGCATTTTCTGAAACAGATTTTTGGTCATCCTAAGAAAATTTTAGAACTTCCCATTTCGACAAGAGCAAAGGTAGTGAACGCAGGCTAACTATGTGGCGTGGCAGACAAGGTCCTTGCATCAATCACTGCGCCAAAAACTCCCCTTCAATGAGACATTTTTGCCATGGTTTTTGGATACTTCAATAGCTAGGAGGGTCCTTGGGACAATGCACCCTTGGAAAATTTTGAATTTTAAAAGTCCAGAATGGTCATTTTATGCATTTTCAGAGTGAGAGCTGGATTTACTTTTGCCTTAAAGATCTGTATGGGTGCTTAATGTATAATTAATTTTCATATAAAGCTCAAAAACTGGATTTTATAACTGCCCATTTTAAGTTTTAGAATTACCCATTTTATATTTAGAGCTACCCATTTTGGAAAATGGGAGGCCTTAGGATGACTTCTGTGTTGATGCAGATACCACAACTTGGTCACTCAGGGAATCAGCTTGATAAACTTAGAGGGCCTGACTCCCACGAAGCGCCACCATGGTTGGCACAGAGCGGGAAAATTTTGCGTCTCTAAAGTGTCGGAAATGGCATTTTCAAAATCTTCTCTACCTCCTTTGTTAGGCCCTTTCATTAATTCGTTCATTATGGTTTGTGAGTCTATAGTATCCGCGAGTCAGGATGGATTATTACGAGAAATGTTGTTAACAAAATATCGTTTACAGATATTTGATTATATCAAATACTTCTAGTTTCGAAATCAATTGGAGTTTTTTTGGTGGAGGGGCCAAAATTGTCCACCCCCTTATAAAACACTGGGTTGGGGGCCCGTTGCCGCCTTCGGCCACTAACTTGTTTAGCCGAGCCTTCAAACAACTCAAATCTATAGGGTCTAGGAAATGCAATCCACTGGAAAATGTTTAAAATCTAATAAGGTATTTACAACACAATATTTTTCATTATATGACACATTGCATTAAAAGTCTGACTATCAAGTCAATACACGAAGGATTGACGAATACATGCAGCACCCTGACCCTGTTAGAATTTGTCTGACTAGTGTGGTATTCTTATCTATTCCTTAGGATAAGGTTTTCCAGCGATGCTGTCCAACAATACCAGTGGTATGACGGCGAGTAATCGGATGAAATTTATTGCATTAATGGACGAGTTTAATTTAGCAGAGAAAATTATGTTAATTATTTTTGCCATTTGTACAATTGTTGCCAACACTTTAGTTTTGGTAGTGACCTGGAGAGAAGCAAGTCTTCATCAACCAAATAAATATTTTGTTGCTTGTCTGGCTGTCGCTGATCTTTTGGTTGGTATGATTGTAGAACCATTGAAGCTCTATCAACTCAATCTCGATGACGATTCGCTACTTACCAGGTCTATTCATCTATGTCGTTTTATGACTTGGATAGATACCTTCGTGTTATCAGCATCTATTTATACACTGACATTTATCAGTTTTGACCGATATATTAAGTTCAGGAAGCCACTTCAATATAGATCCAGAATGACAACTTCTAAATCATTGAAAATTATTTTTGTCATTTTGTTCATTTCAACTGCCTTTGCCACCTACGCCGCCACTCATCATTCAGGAAGCTGGGGAATCTTGTTTATAAGCTTCGGTGCTTGCTCTTTGGATCATAATAAAATGAAAGTATTCTATACCTTTGTGTCAGTAAGTCTGTTTTTTCTACCCGCCCTGGTCATACTGGTTATGTACACTCTCGTTTTTGTTGTTGTTCATAAACGACAAAAGATGCTGAGAAATGGCGAACTGGGTCAAACCTGCAATGATCGGAACCAACGAAGTGCCTTTCTTCAAGATCTGAAGACTATTCGAATGTTATTGGTTGTCGTGGGAGTGTTTATACTTTGTTGGGGTCCTTACTTTATTTGTTTGATGCTGGCGCTTTACTATCCAAATGTGTTTGCTTTCGATACCACGCAATTCAGCAACTGGCGTCGGTTTTTCATGGCTACCTTGGTAATAAGGATACTTCCTTATTTCAACAGTCTATGGAATCCAATAATTTATGCCTGTCTGGATCAAACGTACAGAGAGGCTTTCAAAAATCTGTTTCAGCCAATGATGTGTCGATCAAGTCCAAGAAGACGACAACCGCCTGAGGCAATTGAGTTACCTCCACTGAGAAGAAGATAAACCAACATTTCATTAATATTTTATAAATACTTTATTTTCATTTCATGAATACTTACGTCCTTACTTTACAGGAAAAAGGTGTTTATAAAAGGCTCCGCTCGGGATGTGACAAACTTAAAGATGAAGTCAAGTCTGTTCTGCGCATGTGCAATATGAGGACCACGCTCTGGTGTAAACAATAATTACCCAAATTTCGCGTTGTTTCGGCATCTTCTAAATTCTAACCAAAATTTATTTAAAAGCATATCAAACCAGAACGATGTTAGATATTAACTAAGTGCATTGTATTTGTGAGTATAGTGTCTTCAAAATATAAACGATCTGCACATGCGCTGAACGTACTTAAGACCCATAAAACTTTAACCGACTATTTTTAGCACCTAGCCACGTTGTCCCAGGTGTGTTGCTAAATATGATCTCTAAGTTGTAGGCGCAGAAAACCTAACATCAATACAAATATAACAAAATAAACATACACAAGCAATCATCTTTTTCAATATTAAAATTTTGTTTTCAACCTTACACCGGAAAAAACGACAAATATCAACAAATATCTCGCCCTCGCACAAACAATAACACAATCTCAGTATGCGGTTACTTTCTTTGACGCAAGGTCCTAAATGAGGCATTTGAGCACTCAGTCCAGGTATTCCTTCGGTAGCGCTAGCATGGTTCCTTATTTATAATTTATTTATTAATTTATTTAGCTTTGCCAACTAGGGTGCGCAGGGTTACCACAACAGCATATGCCAATTACTGTGGGCCCTTTTACCTAAGCCATCCCATCAACTCTCCCTGTGGAGAACCCGGAAAAAACCCATGACTTTCGGCCGGAGCGTTGACTTTTTACTCTTTTTACATGAGGACTGGATTCGAGTCACATTGAGAAGTTCTCACTGAGATTTGAACCCACGGCCTTACAGGCGAAAGGCAAATGCGCTAACCACTTCGCCACCGAAGCCCCATGCCTATAGTGATATATAGCATCATATATACAACTTTCCTTGACTTTATGATGTGTGATCATCATACAGGAGCACCCACCCTGCTTTGGGTACGTCACCCCACACCCATATCCTGAACTCCCCTGACAATAACCAGGTGTTGCCCCCCCCCCCCCAAAGAATAGTAACAGAAGGGGGCCCAACTTGCGAAGAGGGGCCCCTGGAATGCTGGAATTGCAGATTGTGTTAAATATGAAGAAATATTCTGGAAAATTGAGGTCGAAAAAGCTAGATTTAAGCCCCCATTATGTAAAACTAGCGCTTGAAAAATTTTTTTGGAACGTTTTTTTTCGTCGACTCCCCCCCCCCCCCCCCC